GGAAGGGGGGTAGGGGGGGAGCATGTGTGCCTGTGGTGCCTCATTAGTATTGAAACTATTTCAGTGTAGCTGACTGTATGTTCTGTACAGCAACAAAAACTTTTGAGGTTTCTGGTGTTTATATTTTTACATTTTTCTTTGGCTCAGATATAGAACTCTTTATTCTACTGTCATAATGACTTCCTACATGCCATCATTTAGCTCTTAGATAATGGGAGCTTTATAGGTGTTTGACTAATTTCAGGTGCCTAGGGCAGATATGTAAATACATTCCCAAGTTTGTCATAATGAGTGAGGATTGATGTGTGTGTTTATTCTCTTATGGGGAACTCAGAATGTGATGATTGTAGTGTCTCACTGACAGACATTTCATCTCAGGCTACTTTTGGTGAAGTTAGGTAACACGGCATATATGTTACTTTATGCGATTGTACTAGACAAAGGAGTACCTCATTCTGAAATGAACCACAGCCAGGATTTTAAATCAGAGATTTGTGGCATTAAAATGATTGAATGTGCCTTAGATAATAAATGGTCCAGCTCCCTCATTGTACAGATGGGGAAACTGAGACACAGGTAATGAAAGAGAACTCTAACTGTGGGGGAATTTTTTAATGTCATGTTTGTTTTTATTTCTAATACTTTTGAGAAAACTTGTCTAGTTGTTTGCCTTTTCTATTGTTTACATAATGTATATAATCAATTTTTCGTTAATAAGCTAGTAAATATGGTATGTTGCTCTTTTCAAATTGAAAATAAAAGAACTATTAAAGGGGGAGACATTTGAGCCTTGAATTGTTTCTTTTTAAGTGGTCTGACCAAAGCTAAAAGTTAGGGAATTCTAGAGGGTGAAAGTAGAATTAAAAAAAAAAATTGTTTTAGTGTCTAATGGGACACAGAACTTAAATAAATTGACTGATTTTTGTGATCTACTTTCTCTCTCACTTAAAAATGAATAAAGGTAAATCTCCAATTTGTCGGTCATCCTTGCTAGAGATTATTTCCTGTGAGGCACAGCAGTTTCAGTTGCACTCACTGTGTACCTATTAATAAAGCAGTGCAAATATCTGTATCCTCTCGCAGGTGAGGACCCGAGGCACGCCCAGGGCGTATGGAGCATTTCTTTATGGTCTCTCAGCTCATAAGTAACACCAAGGGTACAGCTGATGTCAGAATGTAGTGACATCGGTGCTCTGTTCCCACTGGGTGGAAGGAGCCGTCGGCGAGGGGGGGAGGCGGGGGAGACCATGGGACAGGGGAGGGGAGAGGAGAGGCAGGAAGGAGGAGGTTTGGCTTGTCGTTTGCTGATTCTCTGCCCCTCACAGTGTGTAGCAGTCGGACGTTATTGCTCTTAGTGCTCATAATCATCCTCTGAAGTAGGTGTTATCCCCATTTCACAGCTGAGGAAGCTGAGTCCCAAAGAAGCTGCACTCCTCACCCAGCTGCCCAGCTCCTGTTGGAGACACCCCGAGCTTGCCTTCCACCACTGCACAACCTCGGGCCCCATGCTCTTATCTCTGTGTTTTTAAAACGGTTGTTGCAAAATTCGCTTTAAATTTTATGTCTACAAGAGAAGCAGATGGGAAACACTAAAACAAAATTCTGGCTCCACACCGTGGTGTATTGGTAGCATCCACCCTCTTTGGGGGGAGGGGGACGATGTAAATGCACTTTGGGACTAAAGCGAAAGTAGGGAATTAGAAGTTAATATTCAAGCGGAAACAAAGCCACGTTTTGTGAAGCACACATTAATAGCAGTGCATTGGATCAAAGGATGTGATCTCACTTCATAGTAAAACAGGTCCAGCAAGCCCAGGTAACTCAGGAAGCAGAATGGTAATTATTCACAGGAGAAGGCAGGCAGGATACTGTTACAATACTACAGTAGAAAGTCAGGAGGTCACCGAGCTCGCAGGTAACTGAAACGCCTTGGAACTGTTTGGCCCCCTTTAAAAAGAAATAGTAAAATGGGAGAGAATGAAGCAGGTTTGCCTCACACGTCCTTGCAAGGTAAGTGCCAGCAGCCCCGGGAACGTGTGGTCAGGAATTTAAGCAGCAGTGTCCATTCCGGCGTTACAGGGCGTGCGTGTGGGTGTGCGTGTGCACGCCCCGCCGAGGCCCAGGTGTGCTCCGAGGGTGGGGAGCAGAGGTGGGGGTTGTTTCGGAAGGCGCCAGCTGTCTGCAGCAACTCGACCAGCACAGACAGACGCATCCGTGGAGCACAGGGGGAGCCTTGTGCTCACGCCCCGGTGGAGCGGTGGGGAAATGGTGCAACCAACCTCTGGTACATTTTTCATGTTAGACCTTTTCCAACAGTGACAGAATATTGATTTTTGTCTCCCCTTGTACAGTTTTTATTTGTAATCAAGTTATTCCATTGCCGGGATTTATTAGCTAAGTGTCCGTGTCTTAATGTAACTATGTTTTGAAGGTAGAAAACAGGATCTCAGAAGAGAGCAAGTCAGTTGGGAGAGCGGTTTATTTTACATGTCTTACTTAATCAGATACCTTTGTCCTTTGAAGTCATTGGCTATGTTGACATTGGCTTGGCTAGGCCTCTATGGTTCCTCGTGTTGATAGAAACAAGTACAAGTTTGCTCACACTTTTCACCTTTTTGAGGGAGAAAAGATCTTTCTTTAAAAAAAAAAAAAAATGGGCCTAATGCTTATTTTTTACCGTGGTTTTTAGAAACCTATTCTCTTACAAATTATTTGCCACCTTTACAAGTAACATTATAATCAACATTCTTAAAAAACCTATGTATAATGTCATTTTTATTTGTTTAATTATGTTCTTGTGAAGGTACCACCAAAAAAATCCACAAACCACCCAGTTTTCCATAGCGTACGTATGATCAAACATATATAACCACATCTGTGAGATATAACACATGCAAGAATAACAATAAGATGATTATAGACATGCCTGATGATAAAAGTATAGCATCCAATTTATAGTTAAATTATCTTCCATAATACCTGCGTTTTTTCTTTATTTTCCTGAATCATTTTTCCACTTAATCTGCTTAAGAATCTCAGAATCTTATTATTTCTGTAAATGTTTCCTAAATACATTTTTGAAATACTGCATAAAATGCTATTGTAGAGCATTTTTAATTTAAAGATTAGTTTAAAAAGTAATTTAGTGCATTCCATTAAGAAAAACATGGCAAAAGGCTCCTTTAGCACAATTCTATAAAATAATTTATTTTTGTTGAATTATATGATTCTTACTTGTGCCTGACTAAATTGTGTGAAGAAGTATGTGTTGTTTATGTAATAATGATTTTGTATAAAATGTGTATGAGTGTTTGGCAACCACCCGCGCAGCCTCGCCGAGGACTGGGTGGCTACATCACCTGTGCTGGCATTCAAGGGACTGCAGTAAACTAAGGAATCACCAGGCCTCTCCTCTCTCCCCTGACATCCCTTCGTGTGTCAGAATCATGAGTAATATTTCGTTCTTATTTTAGAGTCTTAGACTATGTATAGATTTTCTGTTTGTGTTTTTTTTCTTCTGACACTTCTATGTATGTTACCTTTCTGGTGCTAGGTCCCACTGTAAAAGGGGGATATATATACAATTACTTTTAGAATTAATAATTAGTTTGTATAAGGAAAAATGCACAAAGTTTAAAACAAAAGCTATAGTAAATAATTTGAATGTCGTGGTTTCAGTTAGGAAATGATGTGCGTACATCTATAAACCTGCTGTAGTTGGGGAATGCTTGTGAGATCAGTTCTATCCCAGGGTATTTTCCCTTGCACATTCCATGGAAACCTTTCAATAAGGAATGTGTTCTCTTCTCATCTTATCTGAGTTAAACCTATCCTTGGTAGATCTATAAAGAGTTCATATATATCTTCTTGGAATATTGAAATGGTTCCATCAGAATTGTATTTGCCTTAGGATTATTAAGTGAACCTATTAATCAGGTGAGAGTTAATGAGAAGCAAAGGTACTTGGTTGTTGGTTTTAAATTATTTCTGGATTTATTTTAAATTAAAAAGGAAATCACTATGGGGATAATTTGCAGCTTTATTTGTATGAGTGAAGGTAAGAGGTTTTGATAAGTGTGTTTAATATTTTATAAAAGAAATCTAGATAGATCCTGGATTCTTCGTTTATGTAATGTTCTAACATTATTCTATATCCCATCCTATAACTGAGCTTGAGTTTAAAAGTATCAAAGTAAATAAAAAGACATTTTGAAATGTTTAATTTTGCCTTGACTTACAGCATTTATAAAAAGATTCTGAAGTTCTACATATGAGTGTCCTCTAATAGAAACGACTGTATTCAAATACTACATTTTGTACAGTAAACAAGTGGGTGATTTGTGTGCTTTGGCTATGAAGATTATAAGTTACAGTAGCTTGTTATTAGACCTCCATCATGTGCGCTGAATAATGTCTTCAAGACTATGTATCCTATCTAGATTGTCACCGTAGACAGTGTCAGTGATTATTCATTTTAGTGCTATTTCCTGTAGGTCTCTGACATGTTTTTATACCCCAAAGCTAGTTGAGTGAGCCCTGGTTAGTGGAGCCCAGAATCTATCACCATTTAACATTTCCAGTGGTATTGGGAACCTCTTTTTCTCCCAATGAAAGTGAAGGTTATCTCTTTGAGCATTGCCATTTGCTGAGAAAAGGAAGCATCACTTCCTTGCATAATACCTGCAAACTCACGTGCACCACTGAGTGGCACTTGGGTTAGTCGTGACAGTAGTGAAAGGTTATGGCTGGGATGACCGAGGGCGGCAGCTTCCTTCTTGGCAAGGAACTCCCTGGAAAATTCCTGAAGCTAAGGTTTCTCCAGAGGCTACCCTTGGACAGGTAATGGTCACTTACCTTTTTTCTACTTCTCTCAGAATTTTTATTGACTGGTAGGGCAGACTCTAGTCAAAATTGTAAAAAAAGGAAAGAATCTATTATTATCCAGCTATGTTCCTCACCCCTGGAGGCCCTCCTACCTCAGCAACTCAGACCCCGTGAACTTTTTCCATTTTATTTCTTCCCTCTTCCTTGGTCAAATATGTCCAAGGCCACTTCCGTCACCGTAAAGGATATAAAATGCAAATTCATTCTTGGGGTTATTTGAATAAAAGGTACCTCTGAGTTCAATACCAGAAAACCTCGTGAGAGATTTCTTTGGGTGGAGTCTCCTCTGGGCTGCTCAGCACAGCCTCGGCACTTAGGCTGCCTACTGCCAGCTGCTTGGATGTGTTTGAGCATCTTGTAATTATAGGCCTCCTTTGTACCTCAGTTCTTCTTAGTTCTCTAGATCTAGGAAACCACACAGGTCTGCAAAAACTAGAACTCAGAGGAAAATATCTCTAAGTCCAGAAGGGTTGGCTACACCCTGTGGAATTCAAGGCCAGCTTTAGACAGCAATCAGCAGAGAGCTCTTTGCTAACACACTGAAGGAGAATTTGGTTGTCAGAGTTAGGGTGGAAAGTCTGTAGATTATTCAATTTTTCAAGGTAGGAGGGAGCTTAGAGGGCCTCCAGTCCAATATTTCAACTTTGTACAGTAGCAAACAGAGATCCCATGAAGAAAATTGTCTTTGATTTCTCAGAAGCAGTTGCCAAGTCTCCACCCTAGCTGTCCAGAGCCTGTAATTTTATAAAGGAATTTGGCACATTATTTTCTGGAGGCATTTACTTTCCTTTTTAAAAAGGGAAAATCGGGCTCATAAGTGCTTTCCATATAGACATCTTTTAGTTTCTATAGTTATGACCTGAAAAGAATTGTGCAGTATTCAATCAGGCTATTGAAACCTGGTCCGTCTCATTTGGTTTTTCTCTTGACTCCATGAAAGTTTCACTGACCTTTAAGACATTTACTTAACTTTCATCACAACCAGGAGAAGTTGGTTTGCCTTGAATGTTTCTCATGATACAGCCAGTTTTTAGAAATTATTTTATTTGGCTAGTGAAAGAAAAAAAAATCTAGGCAGAAAGGTGCCTTAGTGTCTGTGCTCCTAAGTTGCAGCCGGAGGGCAGCAGGACCGTGTTCGCCAACCTGTTACACTGGTTCCCGTGCATGTTTACTCTCTGTGGTGGAGAAAATATCTCTGCATTCATCATCCTGAACCATGCCTGTGAGTGCCTTGAAATCTTTCTAAAACTCCAGAGAGGACGGGCCAGTTTGTGAGTCTCCCTTCCCAGCTATGGACCTTTAACAGCATTTTCAGTTTAGAGACATGCAAGGGGCTCTTGCTCCAGGAGGAAGACTTTCACTCTCTCATAGTGATAGGGTGGAACACAAAGAACTAAGACATCCTGGAGCTGATACTTTGATATTGAGATAGCAGGGCGTTTTGGAGTTGAAGTTCTGCTGGAGAGGCCTTATCTAAGGACAGAATCGAGAACATTTGGAGCAAGTAAAATTGCAGAGAATGTTAAGGCATGAAATCCCAGGTGCGTCTGATGTACACGGGAAAAATGCACGTGAGGATGGCTTCGGGACTTTCCCCAGGTGCAAGGCAGAATCCTTGGAGCAGGCAAATGACATTTGGATATGAACTCTGACATAGCATATAAGAAATAGTTAATGAAAACAACATAACTGAGCTGAGGAGATCCCTTTTCCTTGTCTTTTTAACTATAAATAGGAACTTTACCTTATTAGAAATAAAATAGCAAGCAAGATCTTTGAATGGGACATGAGATGAATGTTAGAAACATGGTCCTTAGTTGAAACCTGATGCTGAGGGAAAAAGCAATTTTCAAACACTTTGAAATTTAGAGTTTGTTCCTATACTTTTAAATGGTGTGAAAAGCACAGTTTAATCCCCTTTGATTTAAATGATATTTTATGGAACTGAAATTGTTTTAAAGGGAAACGTTTTAAGTTTCAATTAAAGTCACTATAAAATCTTCTTGAAGAAAAGGTGATGCATACCTACAGGATGACTTGATTGTTTAAACATTATTATTAATAATGCAATTAAATTTTTTTCATATATTTAAAAGATTGGATCTGCCTTTGAATCTGCTTTCTTT